GTGTGTGTGTGTGTGTGTGTGTGTGTGTGTGTGTGTGTGTGTGTGTGCGCCAACAACAAAACACTGGAATTTGTTCAAACGCTGAGCGCTGCAGCTGTTTTTTCTAGAAAAACACTGTAAGTTGAGATCTTTTCAAAGTGGGGTTCACTGGGAAGGTTATAAACAGTATCTTACCTGTTGTAGATAGATCTGTGAACAATCTCCATTTGGAAAATTAGGTACTGTCCAACCATTGTTAGTGAATGTGTTGCTTCAGCGTTTGAATGTGAATTTTGCATTACATTCACAGAAACTTTATCACATTTTTCCAAGTTGCTTTTGTAGCACTTCCTGTTTGAATATCATTCTCCTGGTAAAAATGATGTCCTGTGATATTGACGTTGATGTGGGGGCTGTAAAATTAGATTTGAATGAACTGCTGCAAAAGAGTTTAGGAGGGAATAGTTTTACCTACTTTGTTCTTTGTCCCATCGGTCAGACATAAAACTTGTTTCTCCAAACTGAGATTGTTTTAAAGAACTATCAGCAACAGGTTGGATATTGATTGTTTATACACTTTCCACAAAATGCCATTTAAAGTATAGCTTTAAGTCAAAATGACAAATTATGCAAGTGTTCATGCTTATTTTATTTGGGGATATAAACAATTTTAAGATTTACACACAATTCTGTACTGAAACAAAATAAGAAACTGTATTTTCCTGCGTATAAGTCGCTCCAAATTATCAGTCGCATCAGTCAAAAAAAGCATCATGAAGAGGAAAAAAAACATATATAAGTCGCTTTGGCATATAAGTTGCATTTTTTATGCGTCTCCGCTGACCCGTCACGTTTATTATATATTTATTTAATGGTCAAAACAGCTTAATTTCGCCTGGGCAGCGCGACGCCATCCATCCTTCGCAGCCGGAGCCGTTAGCGCTCCAGCGTTCCTCCGCCTGCACCAGCTGAGTGACGCGAGCGCTCGCGGGACGACTCGCTGTTGCAGTTCTTTTAAAATTTAGACCGTCAGTCAAACATTGAGTTATAAATATTGGAAAAAATGTGTATAAGTCACTTCAGCGTATGTCGTAGGACTGACAAATTATGAAAAAAAATGGCGACTTATACGCTGGAAAATACGGTACTTTTTTTCTTTTCAGATTAAATGTAGACTTTTTTTCCTCCCTCAAAAGATTCGGAACAGTCCATAACGCATTAGATTTTTGTTTTGTTTTTTGTTTTTTCATATAAAAATAAAATTTATGGAAGCATTTTGCTGCCACTATGAAAAAAACAACATTCAGACAGTGTTTTTCACAATGCAATAACAATTATTCACCTGACGACTTGTCGCATTAAAGCATAATTTATGTTTAAACACTGTTATCACATACTAAATAAATGATGACAACAGGATTCTTTTGGTATAAGTATGCATATTGTAATAACGTGAATATATATTATACATGAGCAATTGTTGCTATGTGAAAATGATATGAACAATAAACTTTACATGTCATAAGATGGTACAGCTCTTAATTATTTCAGCTGTAGTGGCACTAAAATGCTTCCATAGCTCACTTCTATGTGACTGAATTAATGTAACTTCTCTAACAAACAACCGTTGTTAATCTCCTCTTCCATACAATTTGTTTACAGACATTACGTTCTTTGCTAAATGTTTAATAATAATTTATTGCCACACTGTACGGTAGTAAATCTCCCCCCTGAGTGCACCTTCACTTTACAGTAATGTAGCCTAAGATGCACAAAGTGACAAATAGACATAACTTGTATTTATTTTTTAGCTTTTAGATGGAAGCTACAGGCAGAAAGGAATGAAGTGGGTGCCAGAAATGTCTTAAAGAGGTAGCAATTTAAAGTTTTAAAAGCCTTAACCATTGCTCTTAAATACCACAATGCTGTTTCGTTTTGTTTTCTAAATGAGCAGACTGAGTTTGTGTGATCATAAAAACACAATCTGTGACTTAACAGTGTTATAATGTAACCATGTAAATGTAGATTTTTTTATTGGAGTGTCTCAGTTTCTGTTAGCGGACCTGTGATGATGTACAATAAACTCGTGGTTGTTGACTCACGTCAGTAGTTTTTGGTTTTGAACAAGAATAAAGTGAATGTAAGAGATGAGCGTGGCTGATCATGCTTCATGTTTCGGTGTACAATAACCAGCTGACAAGTTCTTTAGTGTTCAACGCTCAATGTGAACTACAAACATGGCAGAATATAAGTCTGTGTCCTCTGAACAAGCTGGTTGTTGGCTGTCATGGAAACTGATTCTGTAATAAAATGGTAAAAATTATTTATTTTATTATTCCACTACAAATAATATAAAAGGTCATTAACGTTCTCACGGACACCACTGACTTTACAAAAAAGATTTTTTAAATTCTTCACTTTTTTTTTTCATAACTCCCTGTATATAAAGTATCTGCCCCTCGTCCTAATTTGGGTCTCAGGGTGATGTTGCCAATTAAAGCAATGTCAACCTGTACCACAGAGCAATACATGGCAACGCTTAGCACCAACACTGAAAAGAGAACGCAAGTAAACACAAAATCAGGTAAAAGACACAAAAGAACTCCACTAAATATCCTTCAGTGAGTTCAGCCAAAACTAGTGTTCCAGCTCAGCCTTTGGTTGCAGGTGTGACCATTTGATCCAGAGTGGTGGCAGCAGTACCTGCTCACAACTCCACCTAGAAAAATGAAACAAATAGAAAAAGACAAAAGGAATGGGATCACATTTGCAAGGAGACCCTCTGAATCTGGACAAAAACATGGAAAATCAAAACTTTGTATCTGACATGTATAAAAGTAATTCAGAAGTTGATAATTCTAGATCCCAGTTTTAACACAAAAACAATTCTTCTTTCAGCTTTTCCCTCTTCAGGGTCTCCACAGCGAGTCATCCTCCTCCATCTCACTCCAACTACCTCCATGTCCTCTAACTGCATCCATATATCTCCTCTTTGTCTTGTTCCTGGCAGCTGCATTTCTAACATCCTTCTACCAGTATACCCACTGTCCCTCCTCTGGACATGTCCAAACCATCTCAGTCTGGCCTCTCTAACTTTATCTCCCAGTTCAACCTGTGCTGTACCTCTGATGATCTCATTTCTAATCTGATCCATCCTTGTCACTCCTAAGGAGAACCTCAACATCTTCATTTCTGACACTTCCAGTTCTTTCTCCTGTCTTTTAGTCCACGTCTCTGTCTCCAGACCAGACAACATACAGACAGCTGGTTTCACCACTGTTTTATAAACTTTTCCTTTGACCTTTGCTGACCCTCTTTTGTCACAAATCACTCCTGAAACCTTTCTCCATCCACTCCATCCTGCCTGGACTCTCTTCTTCACCTCTTTACCTTTGTTTTCCTGGACAGTGGACACCAAGTACTTGAAGTCCTGCACCTTTGTGACCTCTGCTCCTTGTAGCCTCTCTGTTCCACCGGCCTCCCTCTCCTTCACACATGTACTCTGTCGTACTACGGCTGACTTTCATTCCTCATCTTTCAAGTGCATACCTCCACTTCTCCATGTTCTAACAATTGTTGCCAGAATCTGCTTTTCTATCAAACAGGAAAAAAACAACAGAACATTGAAAAACAGTCAGAGTTGAAAGCAGGGCAGGTTATGTAACTTCATCATACTCTTTTGACAATTATCTAATCCAAACAAAGCCAATAAACAACAGCCAGACACATTCAGTCCATTTTTCACAGACAACACTGCATGAAGAACAGTGCGTGCAAATCAAGAGGGCCAGATGGCGTCTGCCCAGACGGGAGAGGGAGTCCAAGTTCGACGCTGGAGCTTTCACCCAAAGACATGAAGCAACACCAAACAAACAACGTTAACACTTTGGGTGTATTTATTAAGTCATTAAAGGGCTGTTTCAACTCCATATTTTTCTACGGCTTTGGTAGTTTTCGACTGCGTAAGGACAACTAAATCAATGTCTTCTATCGTTCATAACTCACTGGCAATCAATGAAAAATGTGCTGAGGTTTGGACTCTGCACAGGGTGGTCAAGTTCTAGTAACTTGTTAACTGATAACACCATCAAATAAGTAGTTTTTAACTTAAATCAACTCTGGGTCCTCTTGCTATTGTCAAATTTACGTCAAAATGGAAATATCTTCCTTTTATCAGTTTCGCTGCACTGTGTGCACGGTTTTTGAAATAAATTATCCTCAGCACTGATCTTTTGGGTTGATGGACAAGTTGCAGAGATAATAAAAATAAAAAAATATCCATATTTTTCCATGCAAATTTTGTGTCCAACTTTTAAAAGAGTAACTGGCAATATATATTTAATGAATAAACAGGGACTGTCCCAAATCTTTTATCTACTAATTCTAGTTTTTTAATTTGTTAATGTTTTTAGTGGTGTGAAACAAACCCTGTAGGCTGTAATTGTTGGGGGCTAGCAGACACAAAATTGTAACAAAGTAAATAAATAAATGACCAAATTTACCTTTGGAGTTACAGTGAACAATGAACTCCCTGCAAAATTTCGTCCAACATTTTCCATAAGTTCACATACACATCACCAAAAACAACCAAACTAAACCTCAGCTCTACTACTTTAGAATGACAAAATCTCAATTCTGGAAGGTTCACAATGCCTGCAACAACGTCAAGACTATTTTGCAAATAACTTTGTCAAGCAAAGTTTTTCCAACGTATTCAAAATGCAGAGTACTTCAGAGGAAAGGCCTACGACTTGTGTGAGAAAAGTGAACCCTTACGAACATTTTGAGATGTTTTAGACACCCTTGAAAATGTTTTTTGCAATTTGTTACCAGCAAGAAGAACAGAAATACTAGAGAGAATACTGAACTCACACCAT